ATAAGTTTTCAGTCATTTGGCATAGACTACCAACTGGTGGGTGTGATGCAAACACACTTCCAGTGTTCATCTCCACAGTCACTAGACTGCTCAAAGATGACAATTCACTTCTGCGTCTGACTCTTACACCCTCTTTTTCACCTTACATAGATATTTTAAGTTCGTTAAACGTGTAGTTACAACAAACTACTATTATAAATTTTAATATTATTGGAAGTACATGATAAGTACTTCTACATAGGACAATAGTATTAGTTCACACATAATATGAAAGTTAGCATAACGGGACTAGTTAGTTAGTGTACCAAAATAACCATAGTTACTACACAGAATATATATGTATGTATTTATTAATCACGATAATACCACAAATCATGAATAGCATCAGTGCCGAAGTATCGAAGGACCCTGAAGCACAAAGTGACGCTTGCATTGTAATAGGTGAACAAACGACACGAAAAGGTGAAGGGAAACTCAAAAAGGGCAGTAACACTGAAATGGGTCTCGAAGTTCGTGAGAACACTCCTAGGAAAGCTGTCGACCCCGCACATGAGGTAGACATAGATGCTTCCGCTACAGATTACCTACAAATATCGGCAGATAACACTGTACCCAGGGCCAAGCAAGATAATCTCACTGTAAAAGCCGAAAAGTAGTCTCCTAAAACCAAGGTCTCTCCACAGACGTCCACATACCTCCCTTGTGACAAGCCAAACAAGCAGCATGTAAGCCTGAAAAAGAACTATGCACGCATTATGGCAGGTCCCATAAAGGAGACGGAACACGAGAGTGGAAGTGCTCTTCGTCGAACAAAGAGTAGTAGACAAACTGTGGATGACAGACTACACGAGGTGAAAGCTAACAGCAAAAATAGCTCTATCCGCACAAAACCACACTCTAGCAGACACGCAAGGAGAGTCGAGCTGATTAAACAGCAGAGTGAGACCCACAATTTCCGTAATATCCTAGGTTGTAATATGCCTATAGGCTCATATAACCAGAGAACGGGACACAGAATAAATAATGAAAACACATGGGCTACTAGACGGGACACCACTAGGTACTATATGAACGGAAATGCATACTCGAACCCTTGTAGTAGTTACGTAAAGCCCCATCGGCTTAATGGGTATAGATTGAATCACGGTCCTTCTATGTACATGCACGAAATGAGTCCACAAATGTACAAATGCGAAAGACTTAGCACGCACTACCCTCAAAACCACCTAGAAACAGGTTATTTCGACCCTGTATATAACAATCTGAATAGTGAAACAGATTATCTAATAATAATAATGGTATATTCTCATTTTTTTTACATGAGGGACGCCAGTTTACAGGAATCATCAATTCGATAAATTACAAATACGATTAGTAAGTATAGTTAGTAATGATAATATAATAGGGTACATATTTATTCATACAATATAGGGCACACAAGTTATATAGGAATCGATAAGAATTATTTAAGTTACATATTTAAATTACATGGATTACGGTTAAATAACATGGTTGTTGTCATTTTATCTTTAATCGAGGAATGATTCCAGATACCCACGTAATGGGGCCAGAAGCCAATATATGCAGCGGGATTACTTTCGGTTGCAGCGAACAATAGCCACTCTTGCAGCACAGTTTGTTCAGGGAATAGCAGACACGCTGACAATGTCTCATCTGAGAATCCCTCCGAACATAAAGTAGGCAACCAGGAGTTAGGGATAGTAACAAGAAAACCCACTAATTACCCTCCCAACAAAACTGGTTTTCTGAAAATTATCCTCTTAAATGCTCGATCTCTCCTTAACAAAATAACTTCCCTTCGCAGCTCGGTATACATGGAACGGCCAACACCGATCCCGGTGACTGAAACTTGGCTAACTAATGATATATCTGACACAAAGCTGATAATTGATAACTATGACAACCACAGGAATGATAGAGTGCACAAAAGAGGAGACGGGCGTCTAATATATGCTTCTAAATCCACTGATCCCAATACTTTTACAAATCGAACTATTGACAAACTCCCAGAATCTAAGTGGATAAGCATCAACGCGAATGAAAATAAAATTCTCGCGCGATGTATATTCAGAGCCCATAGCAGCCCTAAAACGACTGATACGGTTATCGGAGAAATACTAGAGCATGTACCTACTCTGGAATTCGACTACAAAATAATTCGTGGCGATTTTAACCTCCCTGGAGTGAACTGCAATACCTGCACTGGACCTAGAATCCATGACCAGCTCCTAGAAGCCATAGATGTAGGAGGATGGAAGCAGTGCGTACGCCTCTCAACACGACATAAAAATATTCTCGACTTAGTCCTCTGCCACAAAATAGAGCCGATCTCGATAGAGGTGGCGGATAAACTCGACAACAGTGATCACAACATACTGTACTGCACCCTACCTCTTCAACTAACAACTAAACACACACCTAAAAATTCCCCGGTTCACTATCGGTATAGGGACTATAGAAATGCCGACTGGGAATTCCTACCACGCTCTTGAGAAGCTCTGGCTGGGATGAAAACATCAGCAATAATAACTTAGAAGCAACGCTTAATATCTTCTACAAGACAATCATTTCGTCAAGAGATACAATCGCACCCCTCAAAATCTGCCCTAAAGACACCGACTCTATTCACAGACCGCAAAATGCGATTAAAAATAAGGAAACTGAAAAAGGAATTTTATTTATATAAAGAATTTAGTGCATTGCACCAGATACATGAAACATTTAAAAATCTTGAGGAGAGACATAAAATGAATGCACAACTCGAGGAAAATAAAGCCCTGAGTGGCACCTCTAAAACTCAGGAACTCTACAAGATCTCGCAAAAGCGACTGAAGAGGGGTAAAGAAAACAATGTTAGCCACTTGGAAAATGAAGGTATCATATATGATGATCCCCAGATTACTTGTGAACTCCTAAACCAATGGTTCTCTAATAACACCAAAGCGCATCCGTCCCCAATCCTCGACATAACCTGCAAAAATAACTACAAGTTAGGTGAAATCAACTTTAAGTATACAAAATATAGCATCAGCGGTAAAGACATTAAAAGATAACGGCAGTTGTGGGATAGATGATATACCATCTGTCACTTGAACCAATATATTGTAATCTATTCTAACAAAGTTTCTAGAGGTTTTTTTCCATCTTTCCAGTTTTTAATGTCAAAAAAGTGTTCCATTTCAAATTGCACTTGTCGAATATGATCATGCCTGTACAAACGGTATGTTAATCATGTAAATGCTTAATTTATGTGAAATATATATATACAAAAACGGTGGCTCGGATATGATAGTACTATTACTTAGAATATTCACCCTCTCACTAGTGACTGGGACCTATCCTGAAACTTGGAAAAACACGTATATACTACCTAAGCATAAAATAGGAGCCAAAACTAGTGCATGCAGTTATAGGCCTACCAATATAACACCTGTCATATCACGGATCATGGAGAAAGTAATCAAAGACCAAATGTCAGACTACTTTCTAAAACACAAACTCATCAACCAGTTACAACACGGATTCCTTAAGAAAAGATCTTGCGTCACTTGCCATATCGACTTTTTCAACGAAGTCACCTATAGAAGAGATAGGAGAGAACTAGTAATTATCCTCTATTTCGATATCAGGAAAGCCTTCAACAGAGTCCCACATAGTCTGTTAGTCAGCAGGCTATGCTCACTAGGGATACGCAACCCCCACCACAACTGGATAAAATCATTTCTCTGTGACAGAAATCAGACAACAAAGGTTAGCTCGATGACCTCCAGGCCTAGGCCAATTAGCAGTGGTGTCATCCAAGGGATTGTATAAGTTTAATCGATAAATATGAATAGATGATGTGACCCCTGGAGACTCGAGTTTAATGTCGAAAAGTGTAGCTGGCGCTGCACAGGCTGTTACAACCCAGAACTCGATCTAGCAATTCAAGGTCACAAAACCCACAGACTCAAATCTTTACTAGACCGAGTACTGAAATATTCACATAATCTGTCATTTTCAGAGAATGTCTCGAAACAAGTATCGAAATCACGCAGGCTTATTGGTTTCCTACTCAGGAACTCCTACAGAAGTGAATCCAGAATACTGCTTTACAAGGTTTGTGTGTGCCCACTCTTAGATTACTGCTCATTCATATTGAGAAGCATACGCATAGAAGGCAAGCTAAAAGTAGGAAAACAGAGGTACTTCACGCTGAAAGTACTCGGAACCGAAAACGGCACAAACTACTTCACCAGATGTGAAATCCTAGGAGTCAAAACATTATGACTTCGACGAATGCAACTAAATTTGGTTTTCTTGATTAGGTATGCACAAATATGGAACAAACTACCTACGGAAATGCGACTAGCAAGCACATTGGCCTCCTTTTTAAAGGTACTTAATGACACACTAAGGGAGTTTGCAAGTGGTACCAGTGCTAATTCCCATGTAAGAGCTTCAGAAAATATAGGCACATTTAATGTATGCATTTAGAGACTACACGTGCTGTTTGTTTTGCCTCTAATTATAATTTCAGACAAAAAAGCAGGTGTCATGACAAAAACACCTCAACAAATAAGAGTCGGTCGAGCAATGTATACCTGATACAAAGAGTGAAACAAAACAGACATGCGAATGGAATGTGAGGAAACAAGGTCGAAACTTACCACAATATCACACGGAAAGATATAAGTTACTTGATTCTGCAGGACCCCAATTATATACATCAGTGTCAACTTGCTAACTTAATTTGCGGTGATTATAGTACATTAATTCCACTTTAGTTACACCCTTGAACATTCAAACGGTTCGTCTGTATATTGAGGAATATTATCCATGTAATAATTAATACTGTCTGATAGCTCTGAACATATATTTTGAAGGTTTTTACGCGAGAACCGAGTTCCACGTGAAAGAAAGTTCCGAAAACCTACTGTTTCACATACTATGATTACTATAGTTGTTCTTATTATTAGCGGTTGTTTCTTTGAATCACTGCATTGATATTGGTCGTCAATGTTTCGCTGCATTTTTTAAATGTAGTGATATAATTATGGAAAATAGTGTTTGTATAAATCAGCAGGCCAGGATTTTTTTGGAAGAATTGGGTAACTATTGGCTTCAATAATTTTATGTGACTGAAAGACAATGAGAAGCTTACGTCCGCTGTGTTTGATGATTCTCTCATATGTTATGCTCATAATAATAAACCAGTTGGTTCATATGAGGTATTGATGAATAATTTAACTGGTTAATATTGTAGTGCCGCGTTAATATTGAAAAAGAGGGCGCTGTAAATCTTATAATTGTGAAAGCATCGAGTACCACACTTTTGGGTGAAATACGTAGCACTTCAACTCTTGAAGCCCATTTATTGCCTTCTCTTGAAACTGTTTCACAAAAAAAGGTGGAAACTACCGTGGTAAACAAACAGTTTTGTCTTTATTTGCAGTGCAGATGAATGGAAAAGTGATAGAGAAGTCGTTTTCTGTCGAACTTGTTGAAGACGTGTATGACGTACGTGTTACAGAATCAGTGGACGGAGAAATTAAGTCATCATTTAAGAATGAAATACCGAATTCCAGTTTGTCGGGTCTTATAACTGAAGGAGCTGATTTGGTCTTTCAGCGAATATTGGTTAAATCGCCCTTTTCTGTCCCACTGGAGGTCATTGGTTTCGATGCAGATTATAACTTAGCGACGGTGTCTTACGTTAGTTTTGTACTGTCTGATATGTTCTAAATAGATTAATCTTGGTGAGCGCAGTATATTCGTCGGAGATAATGAACTTTTTGTCAAGGGAATCCAACGAAATGTTCACTCAAAAAGCTGTCTTCCGTCCTCGTGGCAAAACTACTTTATGGATGATGGGTGAGTATATTCATATTTCACTTTGTCTTCATTTCATTTCTGTCAGTCCAAGTAAATTCCAAAGTTTTATTTCATCGAGTATGTTAATTATTATTGAGATACGTGAGAATTCTGCTGACTGAAGTGCACTGATTTAAAAGTGTATCTAAATTCAATATTATATATTTGTCCAAAGCAATAGGACACTTGATGATCGCTAAATCCTATAGCATGTGCTTGTGTGAAATATTATTTTTTGAAAATACTAAAGGAGCTATTACTCTTCTTAACAGTAACAAGTTCTGGTCTTTAACCATTCTTCGCGAGTTCCATTGGTATTTTTTAAATCTTTTGTAACAATTTCTACTATAATATATCCTGAAAGGAGTAAAAATTGAAAGGTGTAATATACTAGTATTATTGTCTGTCCTAAGTGTATGCAGAACAAGTGAATTGTGTGTAGAAAAGTTGACGATTACTACTATTTTTACTGTTATTATTGGAAAGAATCTTATGGAGAATGGATATTCAAAAAGAAGTATATAACGAAGTATGAAAACTGTTGAAAAGAAGTCAGCTTTCTCTTATTTTGTGTGTAAATGAGAAGTACCAGTAAAAATCAACGAATGAATTAAAGGTGTACTGAAAGGGACATATAAAACCATTGTATTTATTTGACTTTACTCACAAAATGCTCGCTATTTCAGTTAGTAGTAAGTAAGTACTTCAGCTCAAGTCAAGTTCGACTGCACTTACCACTTTATGTGTACTTGATCATATCGTCAGAAGTCTACATCTGAAAGGCATGAAGTTGGTTAGAAGAGCAATCATTAGGCACGGCGTTGACAAATGATATGCAGTTGAAATGAGTTAGTCTTTTAAAAAAATTAGTTTAGAGAGAAATCGTTAGTCGCCTTGCTTTTCATAGTCTGTTGCTATCAAAGGATTTCCTACTCTTGTACTGGGTATTCTTTTTGCTAGGTTTTCAATTTTTACTCACTGAGCTCATTATTAGACTTTGAAATTTACTTATCTGTTCATTTTTGTAATAATTTACTTTTACTTACCATATCCATTTACTCCTATGTATTTTGGCACCATTCCCTTTTAACATCCGAACTTATTATCACACTATGTATGAATAAACTCATTATTTCAATATTATCTTGTATTCATGCCTTTTTTACATTATCAGGCTAATGATTAAATCTCTTTTTAGTTAAAATTATCTTGAAGTGTGCTCCGTACGTTTATAATAACTTATTTGGCTTACATACTGTTAGCAGCCGAAGAGAAACCTGCAAATATATTCCTCCGTATCTTGTTCTGGCTAATCATCGTAGCAAGGCTTATTAAACTACCGAATCTTATTGAGACCTCACTTGCTTCTGATGCCTAATACCTTTTGTAACCAGCAGCAGAATTCTAAATCCGATTTTATACGTTTACTTCTACGATCCTAATCATTTTGTGTTTTCTTAATCATGAATAACAATCCAAATGCTTCAGCATAAAACCAGTGTGATGTTCAACTATCGAATACTGAGTTGTACCTTTGTTCAGGATAGTCAGCCAGCCACCGAAAAGTGAATGTCCAGTCTTATGACAGATACATGAATAAAATGTTTTATACATATATATCGTGTTTTATTTTACGAGGTGTTTACTTTGGAATATTATCCAGTGTAGTTTATGTTTGAGTTCTGTTTCTAGGAGAAATTTCGTTTCTGAATAGAGTGACAAATGTATGCTTCATTACAATACAGTATTGGCTATGCATTTCAATTATACTGGTTTGTCAGTTCATCAATTAGTTCACTATCTTGTATTTCCTTATCACTCCATTCACTATGATATTGATATGTAAGTCTCTTTAAACACGCTATGCAACTCTCACCCCAGACGTCTGTGATTAAAATGATTAGTACCAACAAATGTATTGGCCACCTGGAAGTTCGACAGCGAATGAATAATCAGGAAATCAAAAGAAGTCTGAAAGATACACTGTTCACACCATTTAGTAAAGTGTGAATAAATTGCATACTATGATTTTGAATAAACTTGTAACTGGTGAATTGACCTTCTTTAAATATAGTTAGAATTATTAAACAGTAGATGTCTAAGAAGTAGTGGTGTTTTTTAAACATGATGACTGACTCCATTATGGATAAATTTTATTTTGATAAAGTAACAGTGTTTTACAGTAAAATTTACTGATAACGTTTCGAGCACAATTTATTGCTCATAATCACACCAAGATATGTGATATGATTATGAGCAATAAATTGTGCTCGAAACGTTATCAGTAAATATTACTGTAAAACACTGTGTGACTCTATCAAAATAAAATTTAACCATAATGGAGTTATATCTAACTATACTAACTCTATACTCTACCACAGTGCTCAAGTTTTATCCTTATATGATGACCGACTGAATTTCAGCATAACATTCTGTACAGAAGTGCAACAGTTCAAGTTTCTACACTCCATGTAGCACATAAAGGTAGAAACAGGTGAGAAAAGATATTAAAAGGAACTATAACAAGCAGAAATTTGAAGGAGAGAGAAAAGTAACATTCAAAAACGTGACGGTTTAGTGGATATGGGGGGATCATAAAGAGTGCATGCATCTGCTCCATTAAGAATGCTTTTTAGCCGTACCACCAAGTGTCTCCAGCCACTGGTTCTTAGAATTTCTAGAACCTCAATCAAGCAACCCACACCTTCATACGTGACTCAAACCAACTGTCAAAGATTACATGGACTGATACCATGTTTTGGTTTGACCACCTCTAAATCTATTCAAGCCTAATCCTATGTTGGCTAATATCGCTTGTCGAGGAAGGCGATGGCTAGTCATTCGCAACACGTATGCTAGTTATCTTAATTGATTCAACTTCACAACCTCGACGACTGACTTTTCCCACTTACCCAATACTCGGTGTCTAGCCTCAATATTGCTCATCATATTATACCACAACACAGGAGATAGAACGCAGGCGCATATGATCAAATACAGCTAGCATTTTCATAAATCCCACTTTCAATGGTTATGTTTCACAGTCATAACGGTGGATAGAGCGAACTGCTGCTTAGTAAACATTTTTTCTGATCGATAGCCGGATATCACGTCTACGCCGGAGATGACATAAGTTGACAAATGCCGCACGAACCTTTTCTATCTGTGCTGAGGTTTCGTCGAAATTCAGTTCACTGAGGCTGATGTAGTTTCCTAAATAAGTGAACTAGTCAACACGCTCTACCACTTCACTCCCTATCTTAAAGTTAGGAGTCATTATATAAGTGGGTTGTTTTGATTTCAAAATTAGGAGTAATATTTCAATATCTCTTGTTACACTCTTGACTTATGAGAGTTTCACCACTAATTACATCACCATTTTTTCTCATCTCTCTCTTCACACTAAATGACTGTCTGATCAGTTTACTGACAGGTGAGAAATGCAAAACACGATACATTTTTCAGGGCCTATTTTGTCCATATCTTTTTCTTTGCTTGAAATCCTAAGTCCGTTTGTATAAAATCCTGTAGATTCTGAGTTTGTTAGCCTGGGGAGTTAATAATCAACTGCCTAGGTTAAAATTCTTCACAAGTGAAAATGTACTTTTTTACTTTAAACCACTCATTATACTGCAAGTTATAACATTGGTTGTGAATATTTATTTTGTTTGAGTAAAGAAATTTTGCTTGGTATTTTGCTTTTTAGTTTTTAAAGTCACCTCGCTTATAAGAATACTCTTTCATTCTGTAGTCCTGTGAGATTTTATTATGAATTATCAAAATTATAGGTTTGTTGTATAGTTTTATACGTATCATGTCAGTTACATTAAAAAAATAAACAGGACTATCGCACATCAAGATTTTGTTTATTCCAGACAGTGGTCATTGATGCTAATAATATACAAAAGTATATGATTATTGGCTGATGTTCTTCTTCTTATTATTCCCCTGGGTTCCGAGTGGAACATAAGGCTTCAACAACACATCTCCACTTTCTTCTATTCTCTGCTGTCCTCTTCAGCTGGCTGACCCTACGATTTCCTATAATCTCTCATCTCCTCCTCCCCGGACTATCTCCTCCATGTCACCCTCGCTTTGACGACCCACTCATCGCTCCTCCTTGGGATTCCACTCGAGTGATGGCCTACATTGCGTGCGATGTCATTTGATGGCCTCCTCAGTGGCGTATGCCCGATCCATCTCCACTTTCGGCTCTTGGTTGGCTAATGTTCTTGCAATAGTGAAACTAACTGGTTGGAGAAATCAAGTGAAATAAGTTCTGGACAGTTATATTTGCTTACTTTTGTTTTATAAATTTCAGTAGAATGCAAATACGTTATTCATATCCACACCTCTACGCTCTACGCCAGTATAATCACATGAATACATTTTGTTAATCATGTAATAAAAATTCGAAAATTATTCACAGACATAGGTAGTCATTGAATACCAGTTATTAATATTTAACTTCAGTAATAAGAATATTCAGGAAAACCGTAATTATAAATCAACTTGTTTGTATATCTTTTTACGTCAATTTTTTAAATACTGTTTATAAGTGAATCATTACTGCGACAGACTGTGATCACTTCAATAAACCACTGTCATATTTATTTTCTTATTTCATATGTACATTTATTGCATGTACATTTCATTTCAATTGTAACATAACCAACAAATTAAAAGTCCATTCACGTTAACTAAATGAGAAGGACTAGTATAAAGAAATTGACATTCACATATGGAGTTAAGAAGTAATAACGCTCTCTCTCTCTCGACAAAATTGTAATAACCAGTTTGTTTCATCACGGCTTTTACAAAGATTTGGTCGACTGTCTGACGCACACATCAATACTTTGTTACTGAAACCAAAGATCCAAAATAAGGCACTGTAGCTATGTTCAAGGGTTGATTTGTGAGGATTAGGTTTGTTTTTGCAAGTTTGACCATGGTTTGATATCAGTTAAAGAACTTTTGTAACTGGAAGGTCCTGCGTTCGTACCCCAGTGGGTGCGTACTGCCGATGATTCCCAAACTAGGATGAAACAACTGTCCAGTACTCCCTGGTTTTCAATGGCTCACTAACTGATATCAATCCGTGGTCAAACTCGAAAAACAAACATAATCCTTACAAGTCAACTCTTTGAATAGTGTTATTAGAAGACGGAGATTATCTGAACAATGTGATGTATTTGCGCTATACATTTCGAACAATCTGATCACACATTTACTTGTCAGGTCAATATATACACATATATATATATATGTATATATTTATATATATATATATATATATATATACGAGTTGATCACGGACTAATATCAGTTAGAGAACCATTGGAAACCAGGAAGTACTGGACAGCTGTTTCATCCTAGTTTGGGAATCATCTGCAGTAAGCACCCATTGGGATTCGAACCCAGGACCTTCCGGTTACAAGGCAAGCTGACTCGTATACCATTCAGCCACTGGGACCCAATTCAATGGCTCATGAATTCTAACTTCTATATGAAAAATTAAGGGCAATATACCCGGGGGTGGGTTTAAGTTAATGAATAGCTGTAGCCTCAGCGTATTTCAGTAAGCTCCCTTGACCATTTTTATAGATGACCTTACTGAAATACACTGAGGCTATAGCTATTCATAAACTTAAGCCCCCCTGTATATTCAAAAACAGTTTATTATTACTCTTAACCTACTTTGGTAATCCTTATTTGATTGGATTACCAAACGCTGTGTAAATCATTCTTAAACCTTTTTTTCTCACTTTGTTTAATTTAATTGCCCTTAATTTTTCATATATATATTGACCTGACAGGTAAATGTGTGATCAGATTGTTCGAAATGTATAGCGCAAATACATCACATTGTTCAGATAATCTCCGTCTTCTAATAACACTATTCAAATTTATAAAACGGACTAATTGTTTTAAATCAACTCTTGAAAATTAATCTGATGCTCGCTAGTGACTTGCTACAGGACGGAGTTTCCTAGAGTTCTAGTAAGAAATCGCAACCAGTGAGGTTCATCCAGTCAAGTGTGAGGATGGATTTCCTGCCTATGACATTGGTTGGTGGTTGTGCTAAATCACGAATTGGTAGAAGTTAGAATTCATGGGCTACTGAATTGGGTCCCAGTGGCTGAATGGTATTTAATTTTGCCTTGCAACTGGAAGGTCCTGGGTTCGAACCCCAGTGGGTGCATACTGCCGATGATTCCCAAACTGTGGTTAAGTATTAATCAGATTTTCTATGGTTATTTACCGCAAGTGATTTTGATATATTTTCCAGTATGGTAAAGACAGTATCTTCAGTTAATTTTGCTAAAAGAACTGTCTATATGATTTTCATTTGTTTGAAAATGATATAATTTTTCGTAATTATACTGTTTTTTTGAAGAAAGAAAAGAAATAATACACAAATAACTAAATATAAATCATTCATATATTTTACAGACATTTGATATTAAGAGTACAAGTTGGATCTCCAATCATCGTAAAGGCGAATACAATACCTGAACTCTTTAAAAAAGGTTTGTTTTGTATTCGTTTTTTTTTAATTTACATAAATCTTGTTTCTATTGTAGAAGAATATTTGCCTAAACCAGTCATTCCACAAATCAGTTTAAATTGGGAAGATGATTTAGAACTATACTCACGTTTTCTTGATCGAAAAGTAAGTGATGTGAGAGGCAAACATTTATACTATATTATATATATATATATATATATATATATATATATAACTCTGTTAAGCAGCGACATTTTCCTCTATCACTCATGTATTCATAATCTTATGTGAAGTAATGAAATGACTTAAACAAACAGTGGAAATGTTTCACTGATGCAGGCTGACAGAGACTGATTCAACATTAAAATATATATCAGGAAGAGTATAGCTTTCGCGTATAAAACAATTCATTTACTTCACAGAATTTAATTAGATTTTGAGTCTATGAGTAGCGTAACATTTATTATGCAACTATATAGTTGCATTGTGTATAGATGATTCTACTTACTGCTAGCTGTCCTGTTTATCTTCTTGAAACGATAGTGAGTTAGAGAGGACTTTCATGAGATGAAAGTAAGTATTTACCAACTTCCAATGATTTAGTCTGTTGATCTAAGTCACTTTATTAGAGTAGAGTAGTGGAAATTCGGGTTACATGAAAAGGTAAAATTATTCCCTTGAATACTAACTAACACATGAGAATAAAAGCTACCGGGTGGCTGTTTTCGTGCACAGGATAGCAAACGCCACAACAGATATTCCAGCTGCTTAAAACTGTCGATAAAACACCTTTAAAACAGTCAAAGTGCAATATCCCTCCAAGCACGTAATGCGAAATCCCCTTAGGAAATGCAAATGGCAATTGATCGCCTCTGTTCTATCCAATGAAGGCGCAGCGGAAAATTTTGTTTTGCTAGAAATTATATACCTCGCCCTAACTTATACATCAAAAAGGTTTTTTAAAAAAGTCGCCTTTAATGAATCTTATATCAACAGTTCAGCAATATTATGCTTTAAAAAGAACATAGCTAGTGGCTAGGCAACAGAAGTAATGTGTAAATCTAAAGGAAAAGAATAGAATATTATTTTCTAGGTACATAATAGTTTTCACAGATTTTTCTATTTTTAAAAAAAGATAAACTCTAACCAGTCAGTTTATATTTTAAAACTGGTAAAGTAGAGTAAATTTCAATATATTTCTCCCGCTTTGTTTTTCCTTTGTACTATTATAATTTATTATTATCATTATTATTACAGGGTGAAATTAAAGCTCAATATTTGTTATATTTACGTGATCATCCAGAGATACGTGATATGATTTCTGATTTCATTAAATCTTTACTACTTCATAAACCAGATGAAGTAGTTAAATATGCGGTAGAATATTTTAAGAGTTTTTCAACTCGAGCTTTGCCAAGTGAAACATTTCCTGGGAAAGTATTGTAATGTCTTTTGCTTGTTTTCTTTCGTTTTTTTTTGTATTTTGAGTATGTATTCTGTTGTTGTAGTTGTTGTTACTTTGTTCCTCGAGTTGATTTTGCCCTCTGTCTGTCTGTCTGTCTGCGTGCCTGCCTGCCTATCTGTCTGTCTGCCTGTCTATCTACCTATCTGTAATGGGATATTTAATTTATTAATATCTCTTTATCTTAGTCTTAATCATATTCCAGCTGATTTGTTAACACACTTTTTTAAAATTGAATAATTCTTGATTGTTTTAAAGCATACTTTCTTTTATATAAAAAAAATAGGATCTTAACAATATTAGTATCTTTTACAGAAACAATACCATGTTGCCCTTTGATGACTGTTTGATATTATATTCATTCAGTGTGAACAGAATCTTTAAAGACAAATATTATGACTGTTTACGTATTCAATTCATGCATTAATTCATTACAGTTAAACAAGACAGTCAGCTAAAAGGTGGCAACTATTGTTTTCTTGATTTAGATTTCTTGAATTAGATTTTTAGGCGTCCAACGGAGAAGATCGTGTGAAGAGGAAATGAAAACTTGTAGGCTGTCGTGTAGCCGGCTAAGAAAGACTACCAAAAAAAAAACAGAATGAAATAAAGATGTGCTTCCCGAAGTCTTATGTTCCATTAGGAGACCAAAGAAATAATAGATTGATTGATTTACTTTAAAAAAAAAACATTTTTTCAATCAATATCCATGGTTCTTTACTTATCTATGAAAGTGTTGTATGCATCTCATTGCTAAAAGTGACAACAATTTTTATTTTGAATAATATTAATGATATGGTGGTCGATGTTCAATCTGAAAATAAACCAATCAGAATTTGACCCACGTAAAATAACACCCAATATTTCATTGGTCATGATTACAGGCTAATTGACATATTTTTGGTGAAATTTTGAATCACACATTATTGCGTAAAATATTACTTTGCGGTTCACGTTGTTGCGTGTTCTCGTTTATGTAGTGCGAAGTGAGGAAACAGGCAGCTGTCGTATAATGTTGTTGAAGTAGTCCAACAGGATTCACGGTCAGCGCGTGTGACTAACTCCGCCTCCCTATTTAAATCTCAACATATTACTAGTCATAACAATTAGTCTGTGATAAAAATTTTTTGCTAAGCACACAACTGCACAGATTAAAAAGAAAAATAAAGTCTTTTGGCTCCTACTATGGACGATCCTATACTATCTGGGGACTAACATAAGTGTATTTGGTGGACAGGTGCGCTATAACGTTTGAAACGATGGATTTAAATTTCATTAGAGACTGCAGGCGTTGGTGGTATAGCGGTTAGGACGCTCGCCGACCATGCACATGGTCCGGGGTTCGATCCCCGGCCACAGACGCACTCCTTTACCTCGCTAAGCCAGAAATAATGCTGGTGAAGAGGAAAGGTTGGGCATGAGGCTAGCAACCCCATCCTGTAAAATAAACACTGCTACAGAAACTTCAAGCTTCTAGCTTGAAGCCCTATGTTCCACTGGGGAACGTGAAGGAAAAAAAAAGGAAAAAAGAGACTGCAGGCACCTCCAGCTGACGAGTCCTGAATAGGGCGAGATACGAATTTTTTTTATTCTATCGCTAGTCATCATCATCTGCTTACTGAGTGCATGGGTTAAATTCTTGAAGAGCAGATATCATTTATTTTTTGGAATCAATTATCTAGTAGCGAAAAAGTGTTTCAAATTTGTTCCAAAAACTGTGAAATTTTCATTTGGAAAGAGTATAAACTTATTAAAAATTATAAGGCGATACCAACAGTTTTGTTTTTGCTTCATGTGTACAATTTTTTCTCAATAGTAAGTGGCAACTTTGTAGTGAATTACACTGTACAATGAAATTGTCGATAATACAGGAAGACACAGTAACATGTAGAGGATTTTCAGGCATTTAATAGAATTACATTTGATAATTTCCCTAATAGAAAACAGTAAGTTTTACCTTTTTTTCAGGATACTGACATGTATATGTAGAAATACAAAAGTCAGGAAGTCGTACTGGAATTTCTACACGTTAATGCAGCCATTATTATTTTCAGATTTCCATCATAAGTAAAAGTGTTGACATTGTTATGTAGAATCACCTATATTTACTTATTTTTCATAGCTAGTCGTAGAATGATGCGTTACGCAATCAAGACTTTCTCACTTAAATAACCACGAATTGGTAGAAGTTAGAATTCATGGGCCATTGAATCGGGTTCTAATGACTGAAGGGTATACGAGCTTGCCTTGTAACCGGAAGGTCCTGGGTTCGAAACCCAGTGGGTACATACTGCCGATGAGTCCCAAACTAGGATGAAACAGCTGTCTAGCACTCCATAGTTTTCAATGGTTCACTAACTGATATCAATCCGTAGTCTAACCTGGAACCACATAGCAACCTAGTGAAATCATGCCTTCTGTCTGTTACTGTTTCATTCTCTTAAATGTCTATATAAAACTGGAATACATCACTGTTTGATTACTTAATGATAACTTCTAAACAGTTTACTGAACAAATTATAAGTTACAGAGCCTAGCTGTGGAATCCAGGAATATGCACTTCGTTCTATTTGGGACTGGTCAACTGAATTTACCTGCATTCTTAGTTAATGACGGTGTTCCCATTCAGATTTGAACCTAGCACGCATAGTTTCAAACTCAAAAGCGCTATGCACAAAAGTTACCTTTTGTGCAACAGGTATGAGTTATTATTTGTTTAAGTGAAGCAATCAAGGGTAAAAACAAATCAGCTTAAACGAATATAATTTACTTTAATAAAGCTATTACCGTTAGGCAGCAAGGAATCAGTGAAAGCAATACAGTTTTATTTTTCATGCAATGACATAAAATTATTTTTAGAATATAAGCTGTATTCAAATTGAAGCATACCCCAAGTCGTTATCAACCTCATTCAACAGCTGTATGACAATGCCACATGTCAGGTGATCCACAACGAAAAATTCACTCAGCGAGGCATTCGAAGTGAATACAGAAGTAAAATTAAACTGCCTATTATCACCGATGATATATTTTTTATTGTGGTGGACTAGATTATGCGTCAGACTGTGGGGAGTGAGGAGACAGAATAGCTGGAACACCGATAAGAAGACTCTAGAAGATCTGGATTTCACAGATGATTTATGTCTAATGTTACATAAACTCGATGACTTGCAGGCGAAAAGCGACAAACTGGCAGAAGCAGCAGGCAGCTAAGATTGGACTCCAGGTGAACATAGAGAAGACGGAGATGAAGAACATAACCAGCCACCAACGGGAGAAATTTGACAGAGGCCAATTCCTCGCTTCACTTATCTGGCTAGGAAGACGCTTTCAACTACCGGAAACAGAACGGATGAAGATGGCAAAGCTAGTCAGAATCGGAAAGGCAAGATACACTTTCATCAACCTGAAACTAGGTTGGACATCTGTCGCACTAACTCAGCATAAAGAACAAGATTAGGATTTTCAACACATATGAGAAGTCAGTCACCGATTCTATACGGGTTAGGAACTTGCACTGCATATCACGAAAAGGATTTGTACCAAGTTACAGGTCTTTATCAACGGTTGCCTTCTCTGGCTCCATAATGAAGATCAAATAGCCAGGAAGAATTAACAACAAGAAACTCTGGCTTGGAAAAAAACCAACAGGAAGAGCCAATTGCTCAACAAGTATGTAGAAGAAAATGGAAATGGATCGGGCCGCCGGATGAAATCGCGCTCAATGCAGGCCATCGCTCGAGTGGAATCTCAATGGGAAGTGACGAGTGGGTTGTCGATGCGAGGGTGACATGAAGGAGGAGAGAAGAGAAAATGAGCAGTCGTGGGGTCAACCAGATGAGGAGAACAGCAGAAGATAGAAGAAAGTGGAGATGTGTTGTTGAAGCCCTACGTTCCACTCAGAACCTAAGAGAATAATAAATTATTTAATATGGCATACTGTAATACAGTATTGAAAGCCAGATAACGTTTCGAGCACAATTTATTGCTCATAATCATTCCAATGTATTCACATGGCTTGATGATTTGCTCTGTATGTTTTTGCTCGTCACCTTGTTATCCATTACAATAAAAAAAGATTCGGTGGTTAACTTCTCTCTCTCTTTCCATCTAACTGAATTGCTTTTAAATACTCTCATCTTGTCACACCCTATTGTGTGATTATATGCAAGTGAATGCATTCCAGCGATTCAGCTTCTTTCTAGGTTATTTCACTTAGTAGGATCAATCATTTCAAGTCTAGCTATATTTCTGTGTTCCGATAATCTAGGTGACCTCCACATACTGGTTTGACCTATGTAATTGACCTCACATTCACAATGTGATATTTGGTAAATTATATTACTTTTCTTAATTGGATCTATCGGGTTCTTAAACTGACAAAGTCTCTGAGAGAACTGGCTGATTTAAATACCACCCTAATTCCAGTCTGATTGAGAATCCTACGTAAGGCCTCTGATATTCCTCCTTTGTATTGCAGTTCTACGTAGGCGTCGGATACCATATTATTTTCATTATTTACATTACTACTCTTATCTTTCCTATGAGTCTTCATATATTTTATAAACATTCTGACTTTCACATGCAGTTATAAGCATAACACCTAACTTTCATATTACAAAGGTAGTTCTACATTATACGTTTAGAATCCGGTGTCATTCACCATTTCACTAACAGCTATGTTATGTCCAATGCTCTCATTCACTTAGTCAACTTACAGACATACCCTCCTATTTTATGCAGAGAAAAACCTTCAGTGGAAAAATTCTACAGTTCGCTACAACAAAATTTGCAGAAAGTTGGTCATTATTCCTGTTTAAGATGGCTTAAGTGCATCGGTGGCACAGCGGTTAGGACGCTCGCCGACTATGCATATGGTCCGAGGTTCGATCCCCGGCCGACGCACTCCTTTGCCTCGTTAAACCAGTAATAAATTTGGTAAAGGGGAAAGGTTGGGCATGAGGCTAGCAACCCCATTCTGTAAAAATAAACACTGCTACAGAACGTGAAGGAATAAAAAAAGCAGATGGCTTAATCTAAAAGAAAACGTATTTCACCTCAGTTGAATAATAACTTGAAAGTACACTACTGCAAATGTTTCAAGTGTTTATTATTGAACCTACTGATGAATGTTTTTACAGGATGATTGAATGAATTCTGATTTGCAGTGATGTGTCTATTCATAAAAGGCTATTCTGTGAAAAAAGACAAAAACATTTGATATTGCTGCATCTGGCTTCTCAAACTTGTAAGAATAAAATTATATAATATCCATCACTCACTGAAAACAAAGACTGTAACCGTCAACAATATTCAGTTCAAAGAGTTTAGGTCAAACAATTCATAGTTTGAAAGCTTCAGATAAACTAAACTCGTTCTTATACAGGTGAAAAGCAATAAGTTATATATGTCCAAACCAAGTTCACTTTTAACGGTTTGAAAAAATTTGGGCATTGGGTACAAGATATTCATTATAATAAAGGTTGAGATATTGCTTGATTTATTATTTGTCTACTTATAAGTAGTTTGTGTTTTATTGTCGATTTCTCTTAGCCACCTATTTCGTTACGGTAGTTTATATTATATATAAATATATATGTATATGTATATGTTGGTATATATATATATACCAACAACCTTGTGGGAGGTGGGTGTATTGAAAGACTGCTTGCAAACACTATGTATGATGACACCTAGTAGAATGTTTACAAAGACTCACAACCTGCAATGAGGAATTGATATAAGTATAAAACTTGGGCACTGTGGTAGAGTATAACTCCATAATGGTTAAGATTTTATTTTGATAAATCGCACAGTGTTGTACAGTTATGTTAACTGATGACTGATGATGACAGTTATATAACTGATGACTGCAATGAGGAAGACAGAAATGAAACAATTAGGAGACACATAATGCATAAGATAACTATTTAAGTTAAGCGTACTA